AATCTAAAATTAGGAGATTTCATGCAATAATCAAGATTTCTTGCTTCTTAGGAAAAAAACCTTGAACGTTTGATAGTGTGGGGCCTGAATTTCTTTTGGTCAGCAGGTACCTGAAACTAAATTGCACCTGTGGATGGCATAGATACTCCCCATAAGCTGTCCTCATTGGCTTCATCTTCCTAGGCCTTTTGAGCTGGAGACCACTGGGCTGATCTCATTGGTCTTACATATTTTTCTTCAACCCATCTGCCCTTTTAGTGAGCACCAAGTGTGTGGTCAGCACTGGGTGGGAAGGTGAGGAAGGGGCTGGTGAGATGTGGTGCCCTGTCCACTGTGATGAATGGCCCCTGCAGAGGTTGGCCAGGCTGGCCTTGGCCCTTAATTCTAGACTCAAGATGTTCATTACCCCTGAAGAATTCTTGAGGCCTGTGGTTGGAAGCTGAAGACCCTGGAAGGACAGACACTGTGGAGCTGCTGGAACCTTGGAATCCATCCTCGAGCAGTTGTGGATCCAGACTTTGGTGCTTGGACCCACCTATCCTTCTTGAGCCCTCTTGGCTGAGACCTGCATGGAGTTTGGCGCTAGATCAGAGTCAAGAGTCTGGGTGCTGGCCTCACCCTTCTTTTCCATTCCTAAGGTAGCTGTGGCACAGAAATGCCTAGCCTAGCAGTTGCTGGGTATCTGAATGATCACCAAAATATTATTTTGCTACTCAGCCCCTGCTGGTATGAGCTGTGGAAGTGACATAGCTGTGGTCTGAAATTGTCTGGGTCACAGCAGGCCCTGGCCGGCTCCCTCCTCCTGGCTGGAGCACCTTGCCAGCTTTCTGTCTCCATCCACAGTCGGCCTTGATAGGGGAGATGGGGAAGGACATAGACAGGAAATTCTTTTTATTTGACCCCAAGTCCCCTAGGCTGAAGCTTAAGCTCATTTCCTCGTTTTTCATCCCATGGAGATGGAAAAACTGCTTGTTGTGCTTACCTGCATGCCTGTGATGTGACCTCCCAGGGTTCCCTCGCTGGGCTGCAGAATTCCTGTTGTGTTGACATTTGGGGTTTTTTTCCTTTAGAGACCCATTCATGGGATATAGCTCTAAAGGCTGTACCCAGGGACACCTACATTAAATAAGAATACTGAGAATGGCTACAAAAGCTTATGTGCTTCATTTGTCTGGCAGTGAGGAGGCCTGTTCTAAGACTCTAAGAATACTAAACTCGGTAAGGACCCCCCCCCACCCCCCGTCCGGTTCCTTCTTTAGATGACCAGAATGCTGATTTCTCAGCACCGAACCCAGAATGCAGCCTGCAGAGCCCAAAGCCACGTTCAGGCTCCTCGTGCCTCCAGACCTTCAAAATGATGATCAGGAATCAGACAAATTGCCATGCTTCTGGCCCCAAGAATAAGTTTTCTGTGAAGTAATCTAAGCTCATGCATGTGAGTTTGCACCTGCCTGACTGTCCTGAGTTGGGGGCTGTTGGGGTGAGTGTCCGGCAGCAGTGGCTGGCAAGATGGTTTCTACCTGGCCCTCCTGATCGTCTGGTGTGTCCAGTCCTGAGTTACACATGAAGCACCAAAAATGACTTGAATTTTAAACATCATACTTGATGGGAATCTAGGAAATGAAAAATCTCCTAATCAGGTCAAGTATGTTGTTGAACTGGCCTTGTTTGTGTGCCTTGGGTGCAGGCGGGAGGGGGAGGTGGTGGTGATGGGTCTAAGGACTCTTGAGGAACCTAAGTTCAGGACAAGATTGACTGTAGGGTAGCCTCTACGGTCTGGTTTCAGGGCTCCCCAAAGACTTTTATGTTAAAAAAATGAAAGACCTTCAGTAGGTAACTCTCTAAGGCTTAAAATGTCACTACTAGAAAGTCAGTCTTCTGGTTTAAAGTTTTGGCGTAAGAATGCAGAAGTTCCCAGGAACGCATGTCATTCACTTACTTTACTCCCTCCAGAGAGAGGGGACAAGGAGGACATGAAGCACGAAGGGAGGTGATGGCAGGAGGGGGCGTGAGTGCCCTGCAGAGAGGAACCTGTCGGGGAAGGTGGGCTAGAGGGTGGTAGGAAGGTAGGAATGGTGAATTTAACTATGGAGGCCTCCCGATGTGTGTCAGGGTAATAGTGGCTTCTTATGTTAATTATGTTTCGCTGGATACAGTCTTTGGTTTTCCAAAATCGGGGACAATTCTGAGGCCTATGAACTTCTGGACGAGTGAGGCTTCAAGAGAAGCTTCATTCCTGGAGCAGCTGTGTGGCTCTGGGCAGCTCACCTACCCTCTCTGTTCCTGGCCTTGGTGTCCTCACCTGTAATCTAGAGGGAGTAAATACTTCGCCGGTGTGTGTGATGAGCACCTCTGGCAGGTATGTTTAAGGGGCACATGGTTTAGACCCTCCACAGGCCCGTTTCCCATTCGTTTCACGCTCCCATTTCCACGTGTTTTGGAGCAGATGTATATCGTATGCCCTTTTTTCTAACAGACAAATGCTGGCCCAGGCAGTTGTTGAGTTGAGATGCACAGTTTCGTGGTATTTGGTCACTGGTGAGCAGAGAACAGATTCTTGCCTGAACATACTTGGAAACTCTGAGTAAGCAGATGAGATGACACGCCTCAGATGCTGGCAACTAGGGGCATTTTCCTCTTGCCCTTCTTCACTCGGTTCTTTTCGTGAGAGCTCCTTGATGGATTCGAATGGCTCTTCTGAGGCTGGGCTGATGCATCCATTTGAATGTGGATTCTCATGTGACTTAGAAATTATTCAATTCTGTGTCCAGGGATGCCTGCAAGGCATAGCCAGGAAGAACAATGGGTATATTTATAACTTATTCTTTTCCTGTATTGGTAATAACAGTAAATAGTTTTCTGGCCTGGGTAGCTGTGATGGAGTCACTAGTGCCCCATGACACTGTTGAGTTTCATAGGTCCTACCTTTCAGAAAGTCTGTTGATGGAACTTGAGGAGAGATCCTTAAGGGAGATTTGGAACTGGACTGTCAGGAAAAGTGCCATTCCCATATTCATTCATTCAGTTTCTTCCTTAGGGGAAACGTCCCACCATGAGCCCCTCGTGTGGTTTTTGGATGTCTTGTTTTGCTTCAACACACCTTTTGGTCAGTGTGAGATACTAGATTCCTGAGAATGATTCCTGGATTTTTTTGTGGGTAATGAAAATTAGAGGAGACAGGAGCGGTGCCTGTGGCTCAAAGGAGTAGGGCACTGGCCCCATATGCCAGAGGTGGTGGGTTCAAACCCAGCCCTGGCCAAAAACTGCAAAAACAAACAAACAAACAAAAAACAGAAAGAAAGAAAATTAGAGGAGACCCTATTGCTAACTTTAAATGCCCAGAACGTGATTGCTGGATTCCTGTGCTATCTTCATAGTCTTTCCAACTCAAATTTTTCCAGAGAACATTCAATTGCATTTCTCCATCACAGGCTCATGGAAGTGTCACACCTGGAGTCGGGGGGATGCTTTGTGGACTTTGGTCTGTGCCCATAGCCCAAAATGGAGATTCCTTTTTTTTTTTTTTTTTTTTTGAGGTAGAGTCTCACACTGTCACCCTGCGTAGAGTGCCACGACATCATAGCTCTCAGTGACCTCAAACTCCTGGGCTCCAGTAATCCTCTTGCCTCAGCTTCCCAACTAGCTGGGACTACTGGCACCTGCTATGATGCACAGCTAGTTTTTTTCTCCCTATTTTTAGTAGAGTTGGGGGGGGCTCTCTCTTGCTCAGACTTGTCTCAAACTCCTGAACTCAAGCAATCCACCTGCCTCGGCCTCATAGAATGCTATGATTACAGGTGTGAGCCACTGTGCCCAGCCCCAAATGGAGATTCTTTCCCTAATGCTGTGAAAATCTTCACGTTTGTGTGTGTGTGTTGTTTTTTTTTAATAATCTTGTCACTTTCTCTAAGGAGTTTTCTCCTTTGGTAATCATTTCACTATAGGGGCAGGGGGGCAGTTTTGGGAGGAGTGAGTGAGGTGTGTCAGAATCATCTGCGGTTATTCTGTTCAGATTTTTCATCCAATATTACAAGTGTATCCTAACCAATGCATGTGTCACCATGTACTTTCTCTTTTCCTTTTCTTCCTCCATGAGATTCTAAATTCATTTTTCTTAATGTTACTAAGTTCAAAGGTTTTTGGCTTCTTGTTTTTTTAGGTTACTTTTTCCCCCAGCTTGCTTTGCATCATTGACTAGTCAACTTCGGATCCAAGTCTGACCAAAATTTGTTTGACTATCGCTTGTATATTTAGCCTGTATTTATGTTACATTGTATATCAGTTGCATAGAGAGCTGAGAGATTTTGTTTGACAAAATGTTATGTTTTATTTTAGTAATTTAAAATACCAAGCATTTTTCTGAAACTCCCTAATTTAAGATAAAAATGTAATTGTGCTTCTAACTTGTTTTTCTTCTGGAACAAAATTATGAAAACATTTACATTAGTTATATGCGGATAAAACTGGAGTTCTTTCTCTCTGTTAAGCTGTTGATGAACTTGGTTTGTCATCTTTGTGGACACAGATGCTTCTGTTATCTCACTGAGAATACTGTGGACATTCTTCCTCATCAGGACAGTTTTACGTCGTTTGTATCAGGGTTGTTTTGAGGATTGTCCAACTGCATCATTAAAATACTAAGAATTTATTTAATATAGGGCTGCATCTGGAGAGTATGTCAAATTACTGAGTTGTTATTCGTGCACTAGCAAGACAATGTAATCAAGCCAGAGAACGCCTAATGTTTATTTTGATTTGTTGCCCTTTTGGTTTAAATTTACCACCCACAGTTAGCCAGAATACACAAAACCTGTGGGTTTAGTGTAGGTTTTGCTATCACTCTGTAAAGATGTGCAGACATATCGTACTTAATGCCTTTAGGCTCAAATGCATCAGATGTCATTTACTTTTCTGCTGACAATATCAGAAAACATGAAATTCATCTTCCTAATCTGCTATTGCCATAAGTTGATAGCTGTGCTGTTTGCGTAGTTGACCACCCACTGAAGCCAAGGCACGTGAAACTGCAGCCCACCAAAATGGGCCTGAAAGTCACATGGGACCCACCCAAAGATGCCTCCAGTAGACCTGTGGAGCATTACAACATTGCCTATGGGAAGTCACTGAAAAGTCTTAAATACATCAAGGTGAATGCGGAGACATACTCCTTCCTTATTGAGGATGTGGGTAAGTGACCCTGTGATCTCGCTGTCACAGAATTAGCTGTTCACCAGGATGCTCAGTTACATTCTTAGGGTGACTGTTTGTGAGGCAAAGGATGGCTGGACTTGAGGGAACTTGTGGTTCTTTGGGAAGGGGTACCCAAGTTCAGAGGCTTTCCTCAGGAGGCTATCACTTGACAGCCTTCACCTTGCCACTGGGCTTCCCCATCGGTGCACTTGAACTCAAGTGGTCCTCTCTCCCCACTGATGTAGCCAACAATTTTTAATTCCTGAATGTGCTCTTGGAAAGTATGCTGACCTTTTTTTGTCTTATAGGAACTTGACTAATAGACAACTTGGCAGGCTAATCTAGAGACTTCTAACTTAGTTTACAGTCAGTGGTTGCTCAAGTCCTATGTCCCCATCAAGGTGTGTGGAATAGGTTATGCTTAGCCACATCTGATTAAAGGTGTGACATTTCTCCCTGTCTAAATTTAATTTTAATTTGATTCTGGAAGTTTGGAACATTTTAGATCTTGCCTCCATCCGTATCTTCATGAGAGTGCAGATGTAGGTGGTTTTGGACTTGGGATCTGAGCTGGTCTCTGGATCCTCCATCTTCTATTTTGGTTCCAGTATCCTGAAACTCCATGTATTCTGCTATCATGTGGTGGCCTGACCTTACTTTGGGTCATAAGGAAGTAACAGAAGTCAGCATGTGGAAAACTAGGTCTCCCTTGCCATGTGGGCGTTTTGATCCTTACAAGGGTGTTCAACCTTGGCCTTCGGGGCACATGTGGATTATATGAGGACTATTTTGCTTATCTCTGGTGTCAGATATCACAAAAATTATGCATAGATTTTTTTTGGATTATCAGCTTTCGTTAATGTTTGTGTACTTAACGTGTGGCCCAAGATAGTTTGTCCTCTTCCAGTGTGGCCCAGAGAAGCCAAAAGGTTGGACACCCCTCCCAGGGGCTCAGCTCATGGCTGCTCAGTACCCGTCCCCCAGCCGTGGCCCACCTCACTCCTTCCACCTCCTGGGTTTGATATTATGCTTCCTGCATGACAGAATAGGAAGTGTATAAAAGGGAGACTTCCTTCCTCTCGGCTTCAGCCAAATGTACATTTCTCAGAGTCTATCCTGCATCAGTGTAGCCCCCGAGTTCCTCTGAGCCCAGCTGGGAGGTTAATGGGGAGTCTATAGGCCGAGGCATGAGCAAGGTCCTATTTGTTTGCTCAGACCTTGGGTTGTCATAAGTGCTGCAGAGAAGAAAAACATGTGGAAAGAGGGGCCCAGAACTCCCTGAAGAACAGACAGTGTCTCCTAAGCAGCCTTCTCACCGGCTAACCGTATGGGAGGCAGAGACATGTGGATTAAATTGCTTTGAAATACAAACACGAGGGAATGAGGAGGTGTCTGGCGAAGCCCAGTTTTGCATTCTGCCTGATTGTAGCGGTCTCTCAATTAGTGTGGCAAACCCTTAGTGCCCCAGGTCCTGCCCTAGTCAGACAGAAGTCATACCAGTCTTGATCACAGGTCACAGCAGGCCCCCAGATGGTGTCAGCCCAGCTGCAGGTCCTGGGCCTCTGCTGTTAAAGGAAGGCTCCTTGTTTCGAGAAGCATCATTATCATTACTGCCCTGGATAGAACTTACCTCTTTAATTATTGTTTCTTGCCTGAAATGCCCACAAACTTCCATCTCTTCAAGGAAATTGGCACCTTCACTTACCAGTTACAAGATCATGATTCATTTCAAGGAAAACCAGCACAATTGGAGTTCTGCTTTTTGAAACTCCAGGTTCGGGATACACTCCCTTTGTGACGTGGTGTTCTGGTTTCCTTTCTTATCTCAACAGCTCCAGGAGCTCAGCCAAAGAGACCTCTGCTGCTTGACGTTGGCCCCTACATGATTAGCGTTTCCAAGATTCTAGGAAATATTTTTTCTAGATTTTTGTTGAAATGGTCAAAAACAACATGCAGATAGAGTAAGGGGTACATTTTATTGTGAGAAAGAGAACATTTCATGGAGCTTTAACATATTGCAGTGAAGATTTCCCATGTGCTGAATTTATGAGTTACACTGACATTTCTGATTATCTTCTGGAGATTTCCATGTGGAGCTTCTGCAGGGGCATGTCACTCAGAGTTACTGACAGCAGTGTTCAAGCATGTATTTATTGGACAGTGTGTTTCTACTTCCTATATCGATTTCATGTTAAAAATTGCAAAATCTCTTTTTGTGGACTGCTTTTGAATCTAGGCTTATTACACATGCCACCTACTTTGTACTAAGTGAAGTTCATGTTCTTTGGGTCAGGTGTGTTTCAGTTATATGAGAAGAATGTATGTGATTTTAATAAAAAAAGAGAGAAAGCTATTATTGAGCTTGTCACTTAACTCAGATTTCATATTTAGTTATAAATTGGTATAAGGAAGATGGCTAGTGAGTCAAATTGTGTCATCCCTGGAAATTTGAAACGGTGGCTTGATACGAACCATATGTTTCAGAGCCGGGGGTAGTGTACTTTGTGCTGGTTACTGCAGAAAACCACAATGGAGTCAGCCGTCCAGTGTACAGAGCTGAAAGCCTACCTGGTAAGTCTTCTCTAGTATTGAAGGCTGGAGTTTTGTTACTTAGATTGGGAGAGACAGCCCTCCTTGCTTGTTCAGGTCAATATACATTTAGAATTATTAAAGAATTCCTGAACAAGAACTTGTTATATTTGTAAAACAAAGAAAGACAGAAAAGGAGAAGAGATTTATCCTTTCTTTTAAAATAGCTTCAGTGTGGGTTATTAGTATTTTGCCTGAACTTTCTGAATACTCATTGGAGTAAACTCTGCAAGAGATCAAAACTATGTATTGTCACAAAGCTTAGGTGTCCCGAGTGACTGCTGAAAAGATCACTTCACTGTGTGCTAGGGATGCACTGAAATGTGGAAAGTCCCATAGTCCTCGTTTCTAACTATCAAGTTGCATTTCCCTAATCTAGGAGGTGAATGGATCAAGATTGATGGTTTTCCCATCAAGGGTCCAGGACCATTTAATGAAACCGTCACAGGTACTACTCGCTCATTCGTGTGAGATCCATGTCTTCACTGAAGCGACACCTCGCAAGAGGGTTGTGCTTCTGTCACACACATGCTCACAAACCTCTGTCGAGTTCCCATCGTGAACTAACACACGTGCCACACAGTCCTGGTCCATGTGTCCTGCGCCTGGGGAGCCAGGCTGCAGCCACCGTTGCTCATTGTTCACCATTCTTTCATGTTCTCTCGTGGGGAAGTGTCTGTGTCTACATCTGGGATCTTGTCACCCTGTTAACAGGCAAATATGGTGGTTGAGATGGCAGTACTGGCCTGATCGGGATCCTTACAGCTCTTTTGCCTGTGAATGGCAGAAATGAATGGGACTCACAAAACAGTGGCTTTCATTAGCTAATACGTTGCATCATGGCTTGCTTTTTCTTACAACCTTGGGGTATTTTACAAGTAGGTGTTATGTTGGATAATCTGCCTTCCATCTCTGCTCCATATTTGTGTATCTGTGTGTTTGATCATTTGGATGTTGGTGTTGTCTGGTCACATTGTTTTATTTATTGAGAGAAATGTTGATATTTCTCATGTGTTTCTTAAATATATTTAATGAAAGGTGAAAAAGATGATGTAAAATGAGTGCAGTTATTCCAAAGTGTGGTTGAGTGATGTCCCCAAAGCAATATGGTGTGGATCTCTGTTTTATTTTCATGCACTGTGTGTTTAAATATCTCAATCTGATGTTATTGTTAAGATAAAGGTGAGTATGTGACAACAACTATCTTAAATCTGCTTTTCACACCAGATTTGATGGGTGTAGGCAGTTTTCAAAGTCCCTACTATGTAAAAAGAAGTGGAAAAACAAAACAATCAGAAAAGGAAACTGGCTTTGGGGGAGAGGTGATGTGTTCTTGTTCAAATGCACTGGACTTAAGGGGCCATGGGGTGTTGCAATGGAAATGCCTTGTAGGTGATTCGAGAAGAGAGAATGGAAGTTGGAAGAGGGAAGTAAGAGCAAGGAGGGCATAGGGGTCACGCCATCAAGGAAGAGGTGAAGTAGAAGGTGCGCCAGTGGGTGGGGGAAGAGCTGAGGTCGGCTCAAATGGTGGGAAACAGTGACAGTCAAACGATCAAGAAGTTAGCACACCTAGAAAAGTGTGCTGGTTAACCCCGGGAGGCACACATGTGGACAGACACACATGAACTTTCTACTGGCGGATGTTTGTGCCTTGTGTTTGAATCTCCTATTTTGTGTTTAAAATGACCATTTTGTTTTTATATTCTTCCTGACAAAGTATTCTGCATAATGGTAGTTTTAGAACAAGTAGTTTTTTTAACTTTTTCATAAATAATTTCATATGCCTTCTTTAATGGAAACATGCGTGTGTGTGTGTGTGTGTGTGTGTATGAGAGAGAGAGAGACCTTTCTCAGTGAGCAAGCAGAAATCCTGGGGCTGAGGGATCAGAGGTAATCATGTTCCAGCTCATTATTGGTTTCGTGTACTGTGAGGTTATTTAACCTCTCTGCAGAAGCCTCTGCAGCCTTAGTGCCAAAATATTTTGCTATAATATCTGATGCTCCATTTGTCATGTATAAAAGGGCACTAAAAGAAATTGTTGGCTGAAATGAGTTATGGCATATGATATAAAGCAGAACTTAAAAATACTCATGAATATCTAGTATGCACAGACCAGGTTGAAATGCTCCAGGAAAAAGGGAAAAAAAACTTATGAGAAATTATTGATAATGTATCTATACCCTTTTACGAGGCTTGGGAAATATGCTGCTATTACTGCTGAGAAATGGTCAAATAGATGATATTCTTGTCAAACAAGACAAGTATTCAGAATTCCATCTCTGTATAGAGGAAGGGATTTGCCCTTAAAGCTTCAGAAATCAGCATCCGTGCCTGGCACGAGGCCCAGAGGGGTTCACTTCAGCACCCTGCCGTTGGGCAGCTCATGTGCTTCCAGTGTTTTGTTTTAAACCAGCAGAAAACCCATTCCTTTATGCTGCTGGAAACAATGGTTTCATTTCAAATTCCAGAAGGTTTTCTTTTGGTGGCTTAGATCTATCTCAACGGTATTGTTTACCTAAAAATATAGGGTTTTAAGTAGTTTATTCATTCTGGGACAGGTCTTGGTGCCAGGGGTGCAAGACAGACAAGGGCTCACCTTAGTGAAACTTAGAGTCTCATGGAAAAGAAAGACGACAAACATGTAAGCAAAAAATGATGGAATAATTTTTTAGTTTGCTGGGACCGCCATTAAATACCGACACCGAGTGGTTTAAACAACCAAAAAAATTTTTTTTTCTCATGGTTTTAGAGTCTAGAAGTCCAAAGCAAGGTTTGGTTTCTCCTGAGGCCTCTCTCCTGGCCTCGCAGGTGATGGCTTCTCGCTGTGTCCTCACGGGGTCTTTTCTCTGTTCTTGTGCGCACTCCTTGTCTCTCCTGGGTCTTAATCTCTTTTCATAAGGACACCTGTCAGAATGGATTAGGGTCCGTCCTAATGACCTCACTTTAACTCAGTCCCTTCTTTAAAGGCCCCATCTCCAAATAGTCACATCTGAGGTTCTGGGTTAGGAACTCAAAATATGAATTTTGTGGGGACACAATAAAGCTTGTAATGTAATCATATATTACTCAAAAAAATAAACAGCACCCTGATACACAGAATAAGTGGGCGGAGTGAGGGTTTGGGAGGCCCACGATGGTGGTACCAAGCTGAGACCACAGAGAGCGAAGCCACAGGAGGAAAAGGAAGCACATGCCAGAGGGTCCTAGGGGTTGGGCAGGACTCATGTGATCCTCAGACTGGTCATTTGTCCAGGTACAAATACTCTCAGGACTCAGAAAATGACAGGACTGAGCCAAAACGCGACTCCAGGCCAGAAGCTTTGGCTTCCCATCGTGAAGCTCATCTCGTATCTCTCAGTCAGGAGGTTCCTTTGTCTTTAATGTAGAACCCCTCTTGTTGGGATATGAACCCATGTCATCCTCTCCTGTCACCAGGGAAGACAAGTCACACATCTGTCCCCTTACTGGAAGGCTGTTATTTAGCTTTTTTGCAGACTCTTTTCTGCAAGGTATCTTAGCTTTTTCCTACAGATGGATCTGGGTAACTGGCCTCAGGGTCAGGACAGAGACACACTGGGGCTTGGGACACAGACACATTCCAACTCTGCTACCAACCAGTCAAGGGCTCTCGACGGGGCTGAGAGCTTTCATGCAACTCTTCATCTGAAAAACAGTGTTAGTTTTGGTTTATTTCAGCTCTGCCTGGGATTGTATCTATTTAATAATTTTTAGGGTTTTCTAAAAATTTAGTTCCTTTGTGCTTTTCTCAAGCTCTGGAGCCTAAGCTAGGACTGAAATCAAGGTCTGGTTTGTGTCTTTTACTGTGTTTATGTTATAGTTGGTGAAGCTTGCTCATTGTTTGAACAGTTAAATAGCAGCTTGGACTCAAGTTCAGCATAGGCCTCACAGTTGCCCCTGGGCATTTGCAGCCAACGCTGGCGTGATACTCACCTGTGCGCTCCCTAGTCCTGGTCTTCTTACTGTCACCCACCAACCGCCAAGTTGCTCCTTAGGGCCAGCAGCATGTGGCACTTGGCACGTAGTATCTCTCCACTCCAGGCATCCATGACGACAGCCCATTGGTTGTTCTCACCTGGTTTTTACCTGCCAGCTCCTGTCACTGAGTGGGAGTTAGAGACAGAGCCACTCCCTTCCATGGGATCACGGATTCCCTGTTTGATGACTGTCATCTTCCTCCTCCAATGCTCTGGTGCCATAAGCTTGCTCTCAGGCCTTTTCAGGCTTTGGACCTGCGCACCCTTTCCAGTTGCAAGGTCCACCCAGCCCCTGCTTGCTGCTTCTTACTTCACCTGGACCCCATCATCCACACCACACTCCTGCAGGCCAGCCCTATCTTTGAGCTGCCTCTCTGCCTGCTCAGTGCCCTGCCCTGCCCCCCCAATGTGTCAGAACCAAGCTGATCTTCAGTATTAAAGCTCACCAGAGTCAGTTTCCTCCCTTCTCCAGGTCCTCTGGGCTGCCTGGTGAGCATCCTGTGAGTACGGACTCAGTTTCCTTTCTCCTTCCACGACGGCCAGTCCAGGTGTTGCCACTTGCTGCAGCTCCTTTCTTGGCCTGGGTTCCGCTCACTTCTAGCAGGTGACCTTGCTTCCTGCTTCTCTGCAGAGAGGGAGTTTCAGCTGTCATCCCTCGTCTTCCTTCTCCTGACTTCTAACCTCACTGCTCCCTTTCCTCCCCCAGGCTGTGACGGAAGGCTGTTGTCAACTTCTCTTTAAGGCTGAGCTGTATACGCGAGCGTCTTTGAAAGCAGGATTAGACCATAGGGCAGGTCTGGGGTCCCATTCATCTTTGGACCCCTCCCAGTGCCTGCCTAAAAAGTTGACACCTGCTGTCGACCAAATTATTTGACCCCAAAACAATGAAACTGCAAACTCATGAAAAACCAAAGTTTAGCATCTTTTTCTTACCTAGCACTCGTTTCATGGGAAATACCTCCAGGTCTTGAGACACGGATGCCTAAAGCACGCATTTTAGTCTTTTCTATCAGTATTTTATTGAAATGAGCACAAATTTCAGGTATATTTTCTTGTCAGTTTGTTTACTTAAATATGTTTGATGTGGAAGGTAAAAACTCTAAGCCTACTGTCTTGAGATGGCTCTTTCCCTAATTTGTTGACTTAAGAGCATAATTCACCCACCAAACCATGATCTCACCACTGCTCACCTCTGAACGCAGTGGCTGGGCCTCAGGCTCAGGCCACCACTAGCACACAGGTGGCAGCAGCCCCTGTCTTCTCAGCACCGGGGACTTCTCAGCTGGGAAATGATAAGACTTAGCCAGAAAGTTCTGTGTCCCTTTCTAAGAACCTTCTTTGGTTATAAAGGAAACCTTAGAAGGTTCTAAGGTTCCTTTCAGCTTTGAAAATTTTCGAATATGTGATGCAAAGTGGGTCGACTCTGCCACTTCTGATGAATGATGCTAAGGG